AAATTTCATAAAAATGTCTAGCGACGGCGGTAACGGCTTTGTCGCACAAATTTTGAAGCGCCTACCAAAAGGTAAGTGTAATTATTAGATGTTTAATATTGTGTGCGCCTTTAAATTGAAATAAATAAGTATCAAGTTTATTAAACTTATTAAATGAATGACCTAGATTGGATATTGTTTTGAGTGTAATAGGATATTAGACAAAACAATTGTACTAGCATAAAAGAGGCCCAATTACTGTCAATTTTAAATGAATGTTGGAAAATATTCCTATTAAAAAAGTTTATTTTGTGTGTTATTCACCTTCTGTTATGTCAATGAAAGCGCGCTAAAGGACAAAGACGCGTTACCATCGGCGCCGCCTTTCTATGGCTATGATCGGCATCCTCCTTGATCTTTTAAGCCCAACTTTACTGCTGCCTCGCGACACTAAATTATAATATAACACATCGTAAATTTCGCAAACTATCCGTTGTTGACACGACAGACTTAAGGACCAACGTACAAAGCTTTATTAAGTGTACGCGAAGTGGAAAATCTAACAATAAATACACATTACTAAAAGTTTAGGGAAATCGTTGACTTGTTTTTTATTTAAGTGTTAAAGCAGCGAATGGATAATTAGAAATAAAGTTTCGAATGAGCCGCTTTTGAATTGAATAAGAAAATTTCACTAATTCAGCTATGGCATTATTATTGTGTCTTGAAGACTTATGTAATTGTATTAGTATGTTTTATGACAAGTTAGTTATATTCATATTTGATCACAGATGTACCAATATATTAGAGAATTATAACCTCAGGTGCACACTTTGGATTTGTCAAGTGTTCTTTTGAACGAATCTCCCCCTATGTTTGAACTCAAAATTAAGTGTCTGAAGGCAAACAGTATCGTTACGGATAAAAAAATATAAAAGGGTGTCGACAACGAAGTGTCTGCTCTCTCATAATATCAGAGGCAGCGGCGAAAGAACGAAATTGAATATTAAATGAAATAATTTATGCCATATTTATCATTTTGCAAATGAACAAGTCTCTCACCTTAATGAAAACGTTGAATCAATTTTTTTTCCAACATCTCTAAAGTCTAACGGTACAGTTTGTGTGCAACTTTGTAACAAAACGAAAAACAAAAAAGAACAAAAAAGAAAAAGGATGGCAAGCAAAATACCAGCGTATCATATAAAAATATGTTTACTAAATTGTCTTCCAAATTCATATATTAAATTCTAATGACTATTTGCTGTACGGAAGAAATTAGGATACAGTTCAATTTACGTATCTTTTTAATCTAATCTAGTAAAACTGGATATTGTTTAGTAGTCTAGTTTAATAATATAGAGCTGCGTATACGGGTTTCGCATCTTGCGGTAAGGCTGTGTGCACATTAGCGGACTGGGAGGCCGTAAATCACGGGGGATCAGGCGCTGGCTATCAGTGACGCAGACCGGCGTCAAATGTAAGCAATTATACGTCAGTGCGACCATCTGAGTCACTGCTCACGTTACGAGGGTTAACGTTGAAAATCATTTGACCACAAACTAACACGTGTTTAACGTTAATTCATAATCATGTCAGTGCATAAATGGTACAATATTTTGCAGTATAAAGTGTTGCCATTCAAAATGTATAGTAGCTAACTTTGTTGGTATATTTAATCTATGAGATGAAAGAGAGGTGTGTTACATGATTTCAACCCTAACCCTATTAAGATATCGTAGTATTCATAACATTTTAGAATTTATGTGATATGTATAATAGTATCTAACTTGGGAATAGTTTTTTAACAATTACAAGTGTTGATTTGTCATGCACAATATGTTACAAACGAACGTTCAAAAAATAGAAAAAATTTGTTAAATTAATTTAATTTTAGTTACCAATAAGTAATTAGCAAAAGTTTGCAATATATGTTTTTTTTTTTCTAAAACCTGTATTTTAACAATATGTTTGTTTCAAATGAGAATGGCTTTCAGGTAATAAAGTATGTACTTAGCAATTTAGCTGTTTATTTAATGTTTAGTGGAAATAGATTCAAAAATGAAACGGAACAGTGAACAGGTAAAGGCGGCGGGAGGGGAGGGATCTTCGTTAAGGTTTAATTAAATCGTCCTCGGCGGCCTCTCGCGCTTTAATTCCACCGTTATTAACGCTGTTAAAAAGTGAGTAGCCAGAACATAGAAAACCATTGAGTATCTGAAAAAAATATTAACATTTAAATTTCACTTAAATGTATGTATCTTAATGTTTTCGCCTCATAATAATACAAATATTTTGTTAACAAATGTTAGTTGAAGTTCTTGATTTGTGTTGATGATTTCATAATCCACACTCTTTATTTTTATTAACTAAAATAAATTCTTTATTCTTTATTTTTATTAACACGATATTATATTATAATAATATAATGTGTAATTCAAATAATCTGCCTACCCCCCCTCCTGAGTTTTGATGGTGTGTTGTACAGACCTATTTCTAGAAATTAAGTATATAAATATAGTGTAATTTAAGTAATAAATATAGTGGCTACTCTAAGAATTTCTTTATCGTAAGACGATTGCAAGTGGCCGCGGCGTTTCCGCAGAGAAACATTCGCGATAAGGCGCTTACTGAGCCTTCGCAGCCTCGTCTTATTCTCACAAAACAGTTTGGATTTTAATATTACACTCAAGTGTTGTTCCCAAAGACGTCCCTCGCTAAGTACTAATTTGTCTAAACTTAAAACGCTTTAAACGTTTCTACATTTCTGTAGGGGTTTTCATTAATTTTCTTGATATCTTCTCTTCGTTCCTAAAGCTTATTGATGTTATTGTAATAGCGCATTGTAATTATTCGGCAATTTTATATTTTAATTACCAAATATTTAGTTTTTAAGACATAACACTGCAAAGTCATGTTTTTAACCGACTTCCCAAATAAAAAGAAGGAGGTACTCAATTCGTCTTAATTTTTATTTCTAAGTTAAGATTAGTACATCATTTTATTAACTCATTTGGACAAAACATAAATAAGTACTTTAGAATTTTACCTTGTTATCGTCATCCGTTTGGGTGTTATTCAATTGGTTTGGGTTTTACTGAATGGCCTACTAGACGCATAGGCTACCAGACTATTTTATTATTGTACTAGCTTTCGCCTGCGACTCCGTCCGCGTGTAATAAAAAACAAAAGTACGTAGCAGACTATGCTACATCTATGCCAAAATTCATCGAGATCCCTTCTACAACTTCTTCCCAAATTCTAAGATACACCTATCGATCTCCATCCATCCTAAACTTCGCATTGAATGTTAGTAAGATTATGCGTTGCATACATAAAGTTTAACCCAGCTGAAATATTAGGTATTGAAGGTATGGTTTTAATTACATCAAAAACCTTCCTAACGCAATATTCGATTCCGACCAGCAAGTATTAAATTTTGTGTATTCAAATTGCGGAAAATGTTTTGACATTCAAAGCCTGTGCAAACAAAGCTGTCTATGTTCATATTTGTCGTATACTCGTAGGTAGTTAAAACTAGATATTCACATTTAGGACGACTCACCGTTTCCCTTTGATGGTTCGTAATGAATCGAAATGCATACTGTTGTAAATCAGATATGTTCAGGCTACCTGGAGGTACAACGTCACATTTGTTATTTACTATACAAACCTACTGAGCTTATTGCAGCATTCATTTGTTAAACGATCACTAACGAGATTGTTGTATGCATATTACTCATATAGTAATCTGTACTAAAAACCCACTTAGATTACAATTAACGCCTCAGTTATAATTTATAGCCTAGCCAAGACTATAAAAATCAGGGCCTGGGACTTTTACTAAATATATTAGTTCCATGTTTTTATATTTCCCATAGTTTTTATATTTCTAGTTGACTGTTGGCGGCTTAGTGGTCTAAGCACTTGAGTTGTAATGTACAGATCTTGGGTTCGAATCCCGCCATGTATTAATGTAATTTTCGATTTTTCGAAATTATTAAGTACATAATTTACCCGACGTTCCTACGGTGAAGGAAAACATCGTGATGCAACCAACACATATCGGTTAAAATGGACGGATGAAGAGACAAGTATGTGTGAAGACAACTAACCCGTACTTGGCCAGCGTTGTTGACTATGGCCTAGTCATCCGTAACTTTAGGGGAGGCTCCAAGCCCCTCAGAGGGGACAAATAGTGAGCTGGTGATGGTTTATATTTCTAGTCAGAGTATAATCATCTTGATGTTTATATGTTGATAGTTTTGTTACGATAGACGTTAGTGTCTGTCTAGACTTGATGTAATTTAGTAACGCAGAGAGCAAGCCCCCGAGGCTCACCCTAGCTGTTTTGTAAATATGTTAGATATACACATATTACAATTCTGTCTGTTCATACTTGCTTTTGATCATTCAAATGCAGACGTCACAAAAGACATTACCTCTGCATTGTAATTAATCCAATAAATTGGAAACTAGACGGAATGAACATACCATACGTCATAAAATATATTATCGTGGTCTGTACAAAAAACATGGTTTTTATTTCAGTTTCTTTTAATAAGATTAATAAAAAGGAAATAAATACGGGGTGATAAAGAATGATAATTGTAATTTGTTATTGTCATGTCTAAAATGATCTGGTAACACCTCAATGTATTAAATTAAATCAGGACATACGTAAGTATAAAAAAGTAAACAACAAAAACATGTTTTTCCAAAAGTGTGTACGTCTACAGGAGGTTTTATACAACTTTAGAAGTTTTAATTTGTATTGCCATGTGCGAACTGTCAATTTGTATTGCTGTCAATCCATAATTTTTTAAGTCATTAGATCGTACAACACGACAAAATTGTTTGACATCTTAGTAGAATATTCTGGATATGCTAGGTAACGTTTTGAAAAATTAATAAGTTCAAATTAATGGAAAGAGTTTTACTTTTTAATCTGTGAGTAATTTTATTTTGTTCAATGGCAATTATTTATGTCATGAAATGTCAAACGCCAGTGGGACTGTAATTCTGTCAACATTGCGTGGTTGGTTTGATGACTGATGTAATAGTGAATAACAGCGGTATGTTGATACATAATGTTTTATACCGTATTAACCGTAATTAATACTTCGAGACATGTACGAGGTAGTATGTCTAATGTCGGTTAAAAATACTTTGTGTAACTTTATTCTGTAAAATTCGTGCTGTGAACTTAAGTGCAATGGGTTCGTGATTTACTTCAATTAAACACGCAATTTAGAAAATATATATACACTACAATAACTATGGCAGGAGCAACCCTACCCGAAAGAGTAGCTCAAATATATTATACTTATGGTTTGTTCTGTTCGTCTTATCCTGTTACTGCGATAACCATCGCCATCTCCGTTGTTTTATTGTGCTGGTAAGAACCGTTTATTGTACTTTAATAAAGAGTTACTGTCATCAACGAGTCAGTTTTATATGCTATTCTGTTTACAGTTATCCGCTACTGAATGTGCCTTTACCAGGAAACATACCTACAGTGGTCAATTTACCTCTACATGACGATACTCAAAACCCAATTAACTGCCACAGTAAAAATTGTCACTATGCTGGTGAGAAATTAAAATAATTTTATAAACTATGTTTTATTAAATTTTCAATCTTATGTCCAAGCAAATAATGAATAAATTTAACAGGCACTAAATGAGTTATAGAATTTTTTCTTCAAAGAAATCCACACAATGCTTGTTTTAACAATACTTTTTCATACCCAGAGATAAATTAATTTATATTGTACATTATTTATTTTATAGACATGTTTCTTATGTATGTTATTTTTTAGATATTTTGGAAATAGGCCGTGTGCATAATGAGACGCAGAAACTACCTTACTTATGGACAAAAGACAAACCATTATTCTATGTACAGCAAATTATACTAAAAACAGGTAAGTAAACACTGTAACTAATTTGGATTAGGTAAAACAAAAAATTATTTTAAATATATTAACTAGTAAAATCTGCCTAATATTTTACCTTATTGGCAATTTCGTTTTATTATCAATTGGTACTGCTAAACATTGAGCTAAAAAGTCAAAAGTGAAAATGCAAATATATGTTATTTTTTTGTTGAGCAATTGTTACGCAAAATATTTCTTGAACGACACATAATAAGTAATTTTTGTAGGTGTCTCACCTTGGAATAATAATTTAAGAATGTGGGATGCATTTAGAGGTCCACTGCAAGAAGTATTTCGATTATTAGAAACAATTCGCAACCACGAAGATGTTGAAACGTAAGTATTTATTATATAAAAATTTGTTGATTATGTAGATAGTGTTTGTAGATTTATGCATATTAAATTAATTATTAATGATGAATTTGACAGCTGTACTGTTTTAAATCAAATTGTAGTTTCTGTATATTAATACAAATGTATGCCAGAGAAATCCTGCAGTAAAATGTATTTGTTGCTATTTTTTAATTAGATGTTAAGAGAGTTTGCAGCGCATGCAATGGTGATTCCTTTAATATGTTGTTTGTAATGTGTATTTTGTTTTATTATTTGTAGCGTAGCTTTTGTTACTGTAGTTAACATATCGATGGGTGAAAGGCTATTTGTTTTAAGCACCATTAGGTTATATGTTCGGGAAAGCCATTTAAAGTTTTTAGAAAAAAGCATAAAAACAAATTCTGACAATAATTTAAATTGAAAGATTTTCAGACGGGTTTTAGATAAAAATTACTATAATTCTGCATACTTCATTGTTTTTTAACGATGCAGAAAAAATCACCTATTCTGGATATATTACATGTAAGTCATAGCCTAAAATGGCGGTTGCAGCAAATAGCCTTTCACCCATCGATAATGTAGATATTAAAGAGGATATAGAACTATTAATATATGTAAGTCACATGTTATAGCATTATTTTGAGATATATATGAAAAACATATTCCAGAATAATTGTAGCTATAGCTTATGTAGATAAAGATTTTATATAACCCTATTTTATTAGACTCATTCATCCTATTTAAGTCTCTTAGACTTACAAATGAATGTGGTATAAAGTTAAACTTAGGAATAAATAGTGTAAAAGCAAAAATTGTACTAGTATTTGTTTATACTCTTTTTGTACCTAAATTTAATTTTATTCCGTGTTTATTTATAAAGCTGTAATACTTTGTATTTACTATCCCATTAAATTTTAGTTTCATTGAATTACAAAATTGACCGCTAGCTTGCCAAAATTCATTATTTTACTTACCAAATGTGTTTTATGTAGTTGCCTTAGCAATATATCTGCTGTGCTGTAAAAATGTAGCGAATGTTTTTTTTTTAAATATAGTATGCATGCTATTAATATTATAATTCTTAATAGTTTTTATCTATTTTAGATTCACTTACTATTATGTTTTTATATGATTATCCAGAAGTCTGACTTCATTATTCAATTTCGTTCTGTTTCTTATCTAATTCTATACCTAAACTGTTTTGAAATTGATAGCAGTAAGAAATAATGTCAATAATTCTAATGTAAATATGATTAACACTTTTAACAAACAATAAATGTCAGGATGTTATCTAAATATTCTGTGTGTGTGTTAATTTCACAGCAAAGGTTCTCTGTTACAACATTGCTATCAAATTGAAGGAATAAAACGACGTGAGAGTAAAGCAAGCATGGAACGAGTAATGCCAGAATACAGCTGTTTGTTGCTATCACCTGCTAATTTATGGCAACAAAATCTACAAACATTTTCACTTGATGCTAATATAATCAACACTATATACAATTATCAGGTAATATTTTTAGTAAGATTTCTAATTTTTATGCAGTATATTGGTAGTAAAGGAACATAGTAGTGCATCACAATATTGGTCTCCCTGTCATTTGTATTAAAAATCAGAGATAACTATATATTTCTCGGTGTCTATTGCCTACTAGTTTGGGCCTACATTGTGGTTGATAAAATTAGTTACACTTTTTGCTTGCATTATAATTTTTATTAAGACGAGAATTTCGAAGTTCATTAAGTACTTAATAAAAATTCATATTATATTTAGCACTTGTAGATTTACGCAAAAAATGGTAATATTCGTATTGCGTATTGCACAAGGTCTTGACGTAGTTGTTTTTACAGAATAAACTCATACAATTAGCATTCTGAGTACCAAGATCGACACGTTAAAAAAAATAATTCACGGTCAAGACTATTATGTATTTATGAACTTATTTAATCATAAAGGAAGTGTAAACAAAAACAAAATGCTTAGAATTATTTTTATTGTTATAGTATAAACACTACACATTGTTTTTTCTTGAATTCTGAGATTTAGAGTATGAGTGATGTATCTGTTTATTCAAGGTAAAATATTCAATAGTGTTATAATAATTTTTATATACGTTGATTAATTTTACTCGTGTCAGTATAAAATGTTTATTCTTTTAATTTTATTGTTTTACAGAATCTCCAAAAAGGTAAAACATCGATCGCTGAAATGGCTTTTGGTATGCACCTCCGAGATACTGGCGTCAAACGATATCCCTTAAGAACCCGCCCTCGCGTGTTACAGTACGCTGTTACAATATTCTATCAAGAAGCTAGTGAAAGGTCAGTATAATGATTAACATTTTTCATACATTCATATCTATCTATCCATAGACTAACTAGTGACGCAGCGACTTGAAGTAGACTTTGACTTCCGATAGTAAATGTCTCCAATTATCTCGATACCGCTCCATTTAGACGTGGACTTTGAACTATCATGAAATAGAATTCGAAAATAAATCTGATTTAATTTGAAAATAGTTTATAATATTTTGTAGGGTATATTCTTATTACAATCGTTGTTTTGCTGTTATATTTCTATCATACAAATATAAAATAAGGACATTTGTATGTTAAAATAAATATGTTTTACAAATCATACCAAAAATAACAAATAGGTACAAATAAATTTAGTATTCCATTAGAAATAGAAATAAAAACGATGTTACATTTTTTTTTGTAATATAATTTTAAGATAAACAGTCACTTATTCTTATTATAATTTTAAATATATACGCGCTCGCAAAGGCACCTTCGTCTGCGGTACGGTCGCTTGAATAAGAAATTTTTTTTAAATACTCTTTGTATTTCAGGTTTATCAATTCGTTGACTCATAAACTTAAAGAATTATATCCGTTGTATCAAGATTCAGCGCCGATAAGTGGCAATGAAGTAACCATAATATACTACCCGGGACAATTCAATTACCGCGAACCTATACCACTATTGATTACATTTTTCGGATTGTTTCTTTACGTGTATTTCTCAGTAAGGAAAATAGAATTTATCCGATCAAAGTTTGGCTTGGCAGCGTGCGCCGTGGTTACTGTAGTCGGCAGTTTGTCCATGTCTATAGGAATATGTTTTTACTTTGGTTTTTCATTGAGCCTACAAGGCAAAGAAATCTTCCCATACTTAGTGATTATCGTTGGCCTAGAGAATATTCTTGTTCTAACAAAAAGTGTGACGTCAACCGACTCGCGACTGGATGTTAAAATTCGACTCGCACAAGGTCTCAGTAAAGAAGGCTGGTCGATCACTAAAAATTTACTCACTGAAATAACAATACTCACAGTCAGTTTCTTCACCTTCGTACCATTTATACAGGAGTTCTCTATATTCATGATTGTCAGTCTCATATCTGATTACTTCATACAAATGGTGTTTTTTGCGACGATTCTGGGCATTGATGTACGTCGTATGGAATGTTTCCCGGAGAGAAACAACAAGTTACATTTAAAGGAATACTTCAACTCTAATAACGTTTTGAATTGGCGATTCAATGATGGTTATAAAGAAGAGAACATTACGCCGCAGAAGATAAAAAAGTCCAAATCTCATCCGAGGTTAAATGGATTAGCGCATAACAGTCCGACCGATGTTGTTGCTAAACGTAATTCAAACGCGAGTATACAAGATCATAGAGTGCCGAAAAGGATACGTTTAGTAAATATGTGGGCTCGGACACGATTCTTCCAACGCGCATTCATGGTTTGGATGTTAGTGTGGATATCGATGATCGTCTACAATTCTGGCATTGTTGATTATTTTATAACAACTGAAAAAGACATTGATAGCGCGAGACACGATTATGAAAGAAATAAAGCGAAACAAGCAGTTTATATGACATACAATGAAAGTGATCGACGTCCTTTAGTGTTCGCTACTATGATAGACACAGAAGAAGTTGGTAAAACTATCGATACAAATGATACAATCTTTTTGAAGCATTCACAACATTCACGCCCCTGGTCGAGGTAAGTTAGTATCCAGTATTTTTAGTCTAATTTATTATTAATATAAATACTCCGTAATATAATTTAAAGTAAAACTAATGAAATAACAACTCTTTTTCAACCATATAATACATGTCCAAAGGAAATATTTATAATTAGAAAACAATTATACGTACGTATTTAGTTTACATAAACAGACTAATTACTGCAAAAAACACAAGTTCTAACCTTGACATTATATTACAAAGAGAGAAAAAACCCGCACACGTGTGTTTTATGACAACTTAGATAAGGTTTACATTATCCGAAATACTTTAAATGGCAACATAACAATTCACTCACTGATACTGTCGGCCACTTAACGTTTATCACTTGCATGATTCATTGTCGTCTGTAGGAAGTCTTATTATAACTGTTGATTTTATTTTATACCAAACGATGCCTAGATTCGTTAACTAACGTTTAACTTATGCATAATTCAGTAGTTACGACTCGCAATTCATTTCCATAACCGTCATTAAAGTATAACAACTACTAATTAGTAACAACTAAAATTAATTATTAAATACTTTTTTTTAGTAAATCTATCTATTGTTCAAAAATGAATACATAATTGATTGTAATCTTAACTTATTGTATGTTATTTTTTTGTACTTGTTATTAAGTTGTTTTATGTAACAAAGTTTATTATTTGCCTACTGTATGTAATCAATGTTTAATGGATTATTTTGTTATAACAATTATTGTTCTTTTACGTTAACAACGTGTTACAAATAAACTCTAATAACAGAATAATAATTGTATGTGAGAAATCTGTTTTAATATTTTCTAGTACTACTCTTTTGACGTATAGTTTTAATTACTTTGTCAATTATTTTCTTGTAAGAGATAAGGCTACAAGATACTGTGATTATGCGAAATATGTTTCCGTTTTATTATCAAGTCTCAATACTCCTTATGTTAGAAAAATTTGGTATTCATCAAAACATTGTAGATATTTGATAGGTAAGATTTCAATTATTGCAAAAAAATCTTTTAATTAATAATGTAAAAAATATAAAATATGTAAAACTGATATAAAAACAATAAATAATTCATATAGTGTGTGTTATGTGACTTTATAAGTATTACATGTACTTTTTTAAATTTTCCAGACTATCAGCATCGCATTGGTCAGCGATACTGTCACAGTACAATGAGACAGTGGCGGGAAGGTACGCGGTAATCTTGCCCCCAACGCTACTGAGCCATCGAGTGAGCCCCGAACTGGCGACGGGGCTTCGCCACCCAGACGAACGGGAGCCCCCGCCGCTCCGATGGCAAGCTTTAGCCGCCGCCTTAGACCCCATAGATATATTACCTGGTATATTTTTGCAATATTTATTATATTTATAACTAGCTTTCGCCCGCAACTCCTTTTGCGCTTAAATAAATAAAAAAGTGGTAAATAGCCTATGTGTTCTTTCAGACTATCCTCTACATCTATGACAATTTTCACCGAGATCCGCTCAGCAGTTTAGACTACATTCTATCAAACATCCATCCATCCATTATTAATGTGAAAATTTTGATGGATAGATGGAAAGATATTTCTTAAGAGTTTGTAGCCTAAACTACTTAACGCCTCTCGACTAAATTTAGCATAAATGTAGAGCATAGTCTGGAATAACATGTAGGCTACATACTTGTGTTTTTTTAATTCTATGAGCACGGAGTCTCTGGCGAAAACTAATTAAATTAGTAGGAGTCCTTGCGTGTACAATACGCTGTCTTTCGCACGGGTGCTCTCTCTCTCTCTCTCTCTCACCCGTTATTTTTTAGTCGCTCACAGCTCACCGCATAATTAGGACACGTTCCCTAAAATTATATTTAGGGCTTGTCGCACCAAATTGTAAATTGTCTGATAATAATCCAATATGTAAAATATGTGAAGGGAATATCGGATTTTGTTTCCTTATCTGACAGTGACGTCATTTTTAAGCTATCTAAGCCTTTATCAGCCTGTGTTGGGACAGGCCCTTATGCTTAAAAGTAGTAGAAATTATTGTAAATACCAATGCTTCGCGTTTAGTTGTTTTAAGTAAATGAAACAGTTGATGAAACGGTAGATGTCTCTGATAATCTACACTGAGTGACTTAACGACTTTGGGAGCGGTAGTCAATGTTATTTTTTCATATTGCATCTGCCATCGAAATAATTTAAAAGAAACTGCTGATTAATTTTATACATTTTTGTTTCTCTTTATTTAACATATATTATTTTTCTTTTTATAGATTTCGAGCCAGCGGAAACAAAAAGTCAGGCGTACCAATGGGGTAAGGCGACGGATTTGCCTATCTACCCTACAACGCCTATGGAAATCTTACTTCTTGCTATATTGTGTACTATAAGCGTCGCTGTTATCGCTTACATGATGGTTGTATTATACAGGTAAATATTAAATAGATTTTACATACAAATTTATAAAATAACTAGTAGTCGCTCGCGACTTCGTCCGCTGGAAATTAAAAAAATGTAAAGAAATATAGCCTATGTTATTTACTGATAACGTAGCTTTTTAATGATGACAGAATTGAAATCGGCTCATTCGTTTTTGAGTTATTTTTGTATATATAAAAATACAAATCTTTCCTTTTTATAATATTACTATACTTGTAGAATAGTCATTTTGTCTCCTAAAAATTCTAAGCTTAGAACATTGATTTCAGATGTGTATGTTCTCGACATTACGCTGAATGGAGAGCATCTTGGAACGAAGATGAGGAGTATAGGAAAATTATTGCTAAACAACCGGCTGTACAGGTAATACATTAAAAATACTTTTGTTTTTATTTGTTATTTAGGATGTCAGCAATCACAGCATGTTTTTGAATGTTTTTTTTTTATTTAAAAGCCTTACACTTAGAACACGTTATAGGCTATTTATTATCACGCTATTAAAGTTCGGAGGTAAGTAAATAAAAAAAAGTGTGATAAAGGAATAAAACTCTAAGCCGCAAGCAGCAAAGAAATTTGATTGCCGTGATAACGGTAATTGTTAGTCAATGACAAAGGCCTTTGTTGTCATTTGTACATTAGGAATTTTCAGTTTTTATAATTCCATGCGGTTAAAGCCACACGGGGAAAAGTCAGTGCATTGTATGTACAGTAGATAGACGAGCTGTTCATCATATTTCTCCTTATCCTACTCCCGTAGGGTCGGCGCAACAAGTTTTTTGTCCTCCATATAACTCTATCATACGTCATCTCAGTCATCACTTTCTTTTTGATCATGTCACCTTTCACGCAATCCATCCATCTCTTTCTACCTCTACCTCTACCGGTGTACCTCCACACTCATAACTAACGACTTTCTTGTGCGATGCCATTCATCCTTCCTCATAACATGCCCATACCACGCCAACATTTTACTCCTTAATTTCTCTACTACAATATACTCATTTCGTATCTTATCCATTCATGTTATATAATATGACTTAATTATTTTTACAGTTGGTAATGGAAGCGGTGCCTCTGGTGGTTGCTGGTCACAGTCAGGAGGTGGAATGTCTGGTGACGGACGGTGACACCGTCGTCAGTTCTTGTCTGCAGAGCAACATCAAAGTGTGGGACTCTCATAATGGCGAGATCATCACGAACATCGACCGCAATGCGTATGTAAAAACTACAATACATTTTTAAAACATAAGGTGAAAGAGACGATGGGGATATAAACCAGAAAGTAGATGAATGTAGATGGCTATAAAGGAAGAGGAAGATCGTAGAAAGTATGGATGGATTGGGTGAAAGAGGATATGCTTAAGAAAGGAGTGGATTCGGATATGACGGCTGATAGAGATGTATGGAAGAGCAGCATATACTGTGCCGACCCTCCGTAGGGATAAGGGCAGGATGAAGGTGATAAGCAAGCGGTCACCTAAATTCGCCGAAATGACGAAGCGACCGTTGTTAACTACTCAGTGATGTGTTAATCGACGGAGGAATAAACTTAAGGAGGATATTTCTCCTTCCTTCCTTCCTAATTTTAGATGTAGCAGGATGTGGAGGGAGAGCATTGAAGCACCAAAATATTTTTACCATTTGAATCACTTATTCAACAAAAAACCTAGCTGAGTATAGTTGAACCACTATTATATGATATCGGAACTTGTTCGCTATGTAATCTTTATTCTTTGTTTTTGACATTTTGTGAGTTGTACATTTAATATAGTTGAAACATAAAATTCATGTCTTATCATTTACAGGTTTTTCAAATTACAAAAGGAACTACATGAAAAGACAAATCTAAAAAAAACTACACCGAATGGAGCTTCTTATGATATTTTACAAGGTATTTTATAAACATTATTTTTATTTAATTATTATTAGGACTGTCAACCACTCTGGCCCTGTAATTGGCGCTGGCGCTTTCACATAAATCTTTGAATTTCTCAGATATGTGCATTTGCACATTTTCCTTCTTTGTAGATAAATGTAAATTAGAAATTAAAAAAAAATCAAAATCATTGGTAGTTGGCGGAGATTTAACCCAGGACCTGGAATACAAGTAAATGTGACCTATGAACGACGCTCGATTTTTTTTTTGGAACTAGATTTTACCCGCGTCTCCTCCGCGTGGAATTAAAAAATAAAATAGCCTGTGTGCTCTTCCATACTATCCTCTACATCTATGCCAAATTTCATCGAGATCCGTTCAGCAGTTCAGGCTAAAAACTTTAACAAACATCCATCCATACAGACATCCATCTATCGCATTTATAATAGTAAGATAAATTTATATATATATGTGTGTTAAATTATAATGATTAATATTCCAGTGACTCCGAAGCCTGATAACAAAGCGCCGAAAACTAATGATGTAAGTTTGATGTTAATAATGGCGCTCGCAATACCTGCTTCTCTTCACTGTCACTTGCTGTTAGTACATCAATATCTTGTCCATCGCTTTGAAAACTGTAAACAGAGGCGGATTATCCTAAAAGCATGATAAACAACGCTTTTTTGACGAGAAAAAAATGTCTATGATACTTATTTTGCATGGGAAAAAACCAATTTATTGTTTCAGTAAGAAATTTGTCTATGCCTTGGATAATCCGTCGCTATTTATAAAAATCTTAACTTACACAATACTATATGCATGTCAAGACCATTTGTGGACTTCTTAAGTTTTTAATTGGACTAGATGTATTATTGAACTATTTATTAGCTGTACCTTTATAATATGGCAACACTTGTTGCTACATTTAAATCCCGTTCTTTGTGTTTTCGGACCTTTTTGCACAATATTAGGTATGTTTTTTACACATATACCTATGTGCAGATAATTTGTTGGTTTTCAGAATATTCCACGACTTAAAGGTGGGTTGAGTAATCATCTAAGTGGATTACGGTTCCGAGCTACAAGCGGAGAGTCGCCTTCGCACGTGTCGGCTGCAGAGACAACTAAATACAACTTCGCTAAATGCTACAAGTAAGAAAAGATTTTTATTAACTTTTATAATATTTTTATAAAAAACTACATATCTTTAATGTATTAGAATTGCAGATACAGATAAAAATAGGTTTAAAACCAAATACTTTTCAGTCCGATTTTTTTAGTTTTTAAACTAGGCGTACTAAGTCAGCAGATGTTTTTAAAAAGTTAATTCAAAATTTGTAACTTAATTTGTGGTTATAGTAATAAATAGTATTTTTTAATGTATAATTATTGTTTTAATTTCCAGAGATCTTTACTACAATCGTCGAGAAGAATATTGCGAGACGAAAGAAAACGTCGACACAAACAATTTAAGTGTGAACAAAAGTGATTTGAGTGTTAAAGATAGTGATGTGAATGAAAGTATTTTTGTTTTCAACTCTAGTGCTGAAAGTTCAAACGTCTTAAGAAATAGGCATGAAAATAAACAAACCAGACGAACTAGTAGTGATGCGGGTCCAATAACTGAGGATGATTGTAAAAACAGAGCGTTCAGTGAATCTCCAGTGTGGTGTATTGACTTTTGTAATGACCTCATTATATTAGGTTGTGCGGATGGAAGACTTGAATTCTGGGAAGCCAGTTCTGGTAAATTAATGGTAAGCGCCTTTGTAAATTACATTAATTTAAAACAAAAATGTTTTGGATTTGCACAGTTTGAATAATTTTACCCACCAATCTCGTTAATCACAAAAGATCAAAGCATGGATGCATGGATACAAAAAAACATGCAATTTAAATATTTTTAATAATAATGATTCATTTCGTTGTCATGACTAACATCTTCGAAATCGTCTCAATAATTACTAGTATTATAAATGCGATTGTTTTAATGGATGAATGGATGTTTGTAGCCTAAACGGCTGAACGGATTTCATTGAAATTTCGTATAGTGTAGTGGATAGTCTGGAAGAACAAATAGGCAACTCACTTTCTTTTTTTTAATATTTATCTATGTTCAGTGTATATGGTGCGGGTCAGAGAGTAAAAGTGGGTGGGGCGGTGTGACGCACGTGCGTGCGCTAAGCGGCGGTCGGCGAGTATGCGCCGCCTCTCTCAGCGGTCATCTCACGTTACTGCGACTCGACGCTTACAATGTTACCTCCGGTGCTCACGTCGATTGGAGATTCAGCACCGCGTATAGAAGAAGTAAGTTCATTGTGTGATTTTATCATTATACTAGTTGTTCCCGTGCGACTTCATCCTCATAAAATTATGAAAATGTTTTATTGTTTACATTTTTCAAATTGTTAAAATGATATGACGTGATGACAAACTATGGCCACCTTGCTTCTTTAATGTTGGCAGCTTGTTTATGGTCCTTTTCCAACATGAAGGTTTTTTCCAATTTATTTATCCCCCAAGTTTAATAGCGTAAAAATATATAATCTAAAGCGTGTCGTAAGTGTAGGGTTTTTTATTATAGAAGTTATTATTCAAAAATATGCTGTGATTGCTGACATCCTACGCCACTATGTAGTGTGTGTTTACGCTTTATTACATTAGTATAATTTTAATATGCAAAGAGATAGAATAATATATAGACTGGACCAAGTTGGCACTTCACTTGAAATATTATTCACACAATCTCCCTGACGTTTTCTATTGATGGCCTCAAAACCACATGTCAATATAGTTATTTCTATATATTTTTTTAACACTGTTTAGTTTATTTATAACAAAAGATGGAGTTGTTATGATTTTGTAAATGTTTTATTACATATTAATACCCTTGTACTGTCCTTTCAGAGAGTATCATACCGGTGTAAAATTTCTGTTCACAATGTCTAGTTTATATGTTTCTTAAATGTTTTTGTTGTAATGACGTGATCATTGTTGTGAAGTATTCTGTGTGTATTTAAAGTCTTTGTTGTGAAGTATTCTGTGTGTATTTAAAGTCATTATTGTGTGTTATTCCAGCTCACAAGCGCACCGGGTCAGCGGATTCGATGCGAAGTACGCGTGGCATTGACTACGACGAAGGCCGCGCTAGGATGAGTTTCTCATATGAAACGGATTACAGTGATGGTGAAGGTATGAATTGCGTTTTTTATTACCACACAATTGGCTAGCACAGTAGCTTGTACGCGTTAAATTGTAAACTTACGAATTCTGGAATCTCCCACATGTTCGCATGTCTTATATTAGGACCGACGCTAGAGTAGGGCGCGTTTGGACGACCGCCCAGAGCGCTTGTCATAAGAGTCAGATTAGTCAGTCTCATATAAACCTAAAAGACGTGGATATCTTAAGTGGAGGCCTTTGTACAAAGACAAACTGTAGATTAGGGTTAACAGTCACCAGTCAAAATTATTTCTTTATCAAACATTAATGTAAGTAACTGTTAAGAACAAAAAAGACTATAAAAATCTTCAGCAAAGGTTAATAATAATTTACATATATGCTTGAGCTAGCACGATATCAGAATGACTATTAGTTGAGATGACATGTGGGCGGCCCTGGGAAAGTCGGATTCAGGAACACATTCACAATACTCCTCAGTCAGGATATCATCGATCTATCAACCTTATATCCTTCAAACATGTTCTCGCAACGATCCCTATTTTCAGAATAATCTAAGTTCTCTAAAAAGTCGCTTGGCGGCGCTCGTGTTCTAATTATGACTTAAAATCAAATTGATTTCTTCTTCTGATTGCGACATATTTTTTTACCTATTTAATGTCATATGTTTTACATGATTTATATACAAATAATATTATTATTATAACCTTAAAGCGGCGCCGCAGAAATTTCGCTCAGGGCCGTTGTACAGCTAAGACTGGAATCCGACATTCTAGCAGTGAGGGGAAATATCGCTATACAAGCTACATAAACCTACCTTCCGTGAGAAGAAATATGTATGAGAAGTCAATACAGTTGAACAGTTTGGTTGAATATGTTTTATTTTTACAGAAGTAGTGTGTATTCGTATTGCGCACTGTAGACCTCACCAGCAGCCAGTAACGGAGATGCATTCTGAAGGTGGTCGCATAATGACGGGCGCACAGGACCACGTTGTGAAGGTAAGATACTTCACTCAGAAGACTATTAAAGGAAAGAATATATAAATAAAAACTCCTCCTTTTCTATGTGCTTTGTTTCCCCATGCTTGAGATTCGCTACTCCACTTCTCGTTCTCTTAATCATCTCTTATAGGGAATATATTGTATTAACGTAATTAATTTAACACTTAGGCCACTGTCTCCCGCCAGAAATGCGCGCTATTCGAATATGTCAAAATGAGGGAATGTATATGCCTATGTGTTGTCCGATCTCTTCTTTACAATCGGTACCTACTAATTAAAAATATATTACTGTTATGCTTATAAAATATATGTATTCGATAATTCCAGGTGTTTTCGAGTAATGAACTGAGCCCGTTGTTCACACTGCACGGTCACTGCGGCCCTATAACTAGTTGCTTCATCGACCACGCCACGCCCACTATCGCCGGCAGCGGATCGCAAGATGGATTGTTGTGTGTGTGGGATTTACATACGGGTTGGTATCTACTATCTATAATAATGCAATAAGGCGTAAACACACCTCTTTAACATGTTCGCAGTGCAGGGCCGGCTCGCCCAATGCAATACCACGACCACACAGAAGACAGGCGTGAAGTGGGAGAAATTCCGCGTACACTCTAATGAGTGTGGTGTCGGGGGCCAACTTTAGTCCCTTTTCCTTCCCAACCTATTTTTTGTAAGAAAAGGATGGGAAAGAAACGTGGATTTGACGGTGGCGGTGACGCATAGGAAGAGGAAACATCCTCTTTATATGCGTCTCCTCCGTCGATTGAGGATATAACAATGTATCCGCTATTCCGGATGTCTCTAGGCAGCGGTCGCTTCGCCAGTTTAGCGAAATCTGGTGGCCGCTTACTCGTTTGTCACCTTATGATATAAAAACGCTTTAGGCGACATATTTTCAAGTTATTAAACTTAGGGGGTAAATAAATTGAATAAAACCATCATGCGCGAGAGAGATAAAACTACAAGCCAATAGCAGCCAAGAAGCAAGATTGCTATGGCAATCGATAGTCAAAAGCAAAATCCTTTGTTGTCATTTGAATTTTGGCATTTGAATTAAGATAATCATCACATTATTAATATTTCATCGACCATTTAGTAGATTTTTATTTACTTATGTTAATATTAATATTGTGTACATTGCGGGTTTTCTTAATGTACAAACTGTGTACTGCATACAGGTGCGTGCTTGTACAGCATGCAGGCGCACGACGGCGCGGTGACGTCACTCGCGTACACCGCCTCGTACGTGGTATCTGCGGGCGCGGACGAACGTCTCTGCATATGGGATAGATTCCAAGGTCATATGCTCAACTCCATACATATCGTGAGTTATGTTTTAATACTTTCTAATAACTTATTTTTACAATAGGCAATATGCATATGACGCCAAATTGTACCAAACTTTTTTTAAGTATACTTTATTAGTTTAAAAACAGTCCTGCGAAATTTTTTTTAAATATAATGTGATTTAGTGGAAAAATTTAATCATTAAAAAGTGTCTTAATTAATGAATAGAATTATTAATTATCACTTATTTGTACCAGGAATAATACAAATGAATCGATTTTTGTCTTTTACCTTGAGAAACTTTGTTGTTTTTTACGTCGAAGTGACATCTGAGCGTATGTAATGAATGGAATAGACGATTGACGTCAATTGTCTATTCAATTCTTGCACCATTAAAAAGCCACCAAGTAAAATAACCTATTTATTTTAATTTCACGCGGGCGAAGTCGAGTGCAACAGTTTATTATCTTACTAATAGTATAAATGCCTGGATGTTTATTAGAGTTTGTAGCCTAAGCGGCTGAATGGATCTGGATGAAATTTGGCATAGACATAGAGGATAGTGTGGAAGAACACATAGGCTACTCGATTTTAATTCTTTTATTTCGACGCGGTCGGAGTCGTGGGCGAAAGTTAGTATTTTTATAATTAACATGTTTCCAGGGTCTGAACTACATGAGTCGGATGTTACCTCTAACACACACGATGCTGGTGATGGGTGACCGCAGTGGTCTTACTGTCTACGACCTCAGCAGCGGAGATGTTATACGAAGGGTATTATTAGGTAAAATCATTTCTATTACTTTAAAACTTAGTATATTTGATCGCCATAATGGAGCATATTGTGAGATTGCAATTGCGATCTTTAGATCGATTAAATTTGAACCAAATTGATTTCAAATGTCAATCAAAATAATGCGGATAAAAGTGGTTCAAAATCATTAATGGATTTCGACGGTTAGAGGCTACTTAAGTAACCTATTATATTACTTTTAGTGTGTCTATGTAGGGGACATCTCTTTCTTTCCCTGGTGTGATAAATCTAAAGACTGTTTTCTTAAGTAATAAAATCTGCGCATGTTTTTTTTTTAATAAATATTGCGTGTATTTTTTTTTTCAGGACAGAGCGATGGCTGCATATTTGTTCGACAAATATTACCACTCAAAGACGCTATAGTATGCGATTACGCGAACCAATTGAGAATAGTTCGCTTCCCTCTCGTTTCTAAGCTTTCTAACAATAAGAATGAATGATTCCATAAAGTCAATTATTAACTTTAAAGGTAATCGCTCAATAGAACTACCTGGCAATCGCTCTTTTTATCTCTAACTCACTCACTCGTTGATAGGCTTAACTTATATTCCACGCGTGAAAGCCTTGCTTAAAACACTACAAATTGTCCATAGGTGGATTTAATGTGCGATAACCTTAAAATATATTGGATTTTTGAATTTTGATATTAAATTATGCTAGAAGCTAAACTTCCTGGTACTATAAAGTGCTTTATTGTAATCTATGTACAAAAAAACTTAAATTATATTATATGATTTTAATATAGCTTTTCATATATATTTGTACATGAAACATGTAATGGCATAACATGTTTAAATTATCTAACGTGATATCACAAGTTATATGTCAATGAAGAGAATATTTTTGTATTTTATTGGAGTTCTAAAAGCGGTCTGACATCGACGGTATTTATTCTATATAAGTGAGAAATTACTTGTTAGATTTCTATTAAATGTTACCATTATCTTATATATAAATTTAAATTCTAACGAAAACGCTGGATCGAAGAATAAATGCCTTACTTAGTAGTCGTTAACTTCCACCTTTGTGGCTTCCAAAATCGTCCATTTTAATATTTAGATCTTTATTAAATTGCCTCAAATCCTGTCTGTGAAAAATACTTTTGATTCCTGTAGATCTATGTTAGATCTACAACTTTAACCAATCACTTAGTTTTTAGAAATCACTAACACACACGGGTATATGGAAGCAGTCTTCTCGTAATGTTTTATACAAGTCACCGGACGTTCGTGAACACCGCCCATTTTTAATTTGCCTAGACATTGTGAAGTATCGCTAAATATATAACAGCCTATATCGTTAGAATGAATCTTTAGTGTCGAAAATATATAACATTAAGAATTAATTCGTTTTGATTTGCAATTCACTGTTTACAACTTTTTTTAAGCAAATTACAAACAAACGACTTTCTCGATCGATCGGTGATATTACAATCTAATGCCTACTTTAGCATCACAAGAAACGGTATGACATAGTTGGACAAACAACTCGCAAATCCTATTTATCTTAACTTACACTCGCTTTAATTGATTGTCAACCAGGGATATAAAACCAAAAAGGGTTTAATTGATTTTTTTAGATGTAGTTTTAAAGGCAGCCTTGAGCATTAAATCAATTTTAAACTCAAAATACATTTTTCTTATAAGATTTCTATCGTTTATGTTCTATGATTAAAAAGGTTAACATATGAATGCTTCCATTTACAATTTTAGATAACCGATGGATTTTAGGTTTTATACCCCTGTATTTTATGTGACCCCTAGGTTCGTGATAATATAAGATAAAATGTGGTAAATTTATTTATTTTATTCTTAAAAGTATTATGTGTGCAAAGATACCATGCTTTAAATTTTATTCCTGATATTTCTAATACCTCCTCGCTATTATTTGTATCTTTTTGAACCGTGCTTTTTACCTTTCGAATCACAAATGTTGCTATATCTCTAAGTATATAAGAGGAAATATCTTCTGTTAAAAACCCCCAATTTGCACATGATTCGTGGATTCATTTTAATTTTGGATCCTGAATACAATATATTTTGCTTATAACTATGAGATTTTTGAATTGTTGCTTTACAAAATATACATTAAATGTAATGTGTTAATCATCACAGCTTTTAATATATATTTTTTTAGTTCAGAAATAGCTTCACATTAAGTACATATATTAAAGTAAATTTAAAACACGGTAACAAATTGGCAAGCATCATTAAATTACCACAAAGTAACGTTAAATTATTTCATTAGGTAATGTAAGGAGTTATTTATTTTAATAGTTATTAATGTTATGTAATCAATTGTCCTATGAATTTTTCCAAACATCCATTCCTATATCCTTTCAGATTCCATTTCAACACCTTTGTAAATATTTATACTTTTTAATAAAAATGTTTTGTTAAAGTTGTCTTTTATTGTAGCTAAAGCTAATGTATTACTTTAAAAGTATGTACAAATCCTCGAAGAAAAACGGTACAATGATGAATTTTGTATTCAATATAATAAATTTGATCAGAAAAATGAAATATTTATATTAATGTATTAACTATAGTTTGTCTAAACAAGATAGATTAGTTTGATAAATGACGCATATGAAATATCGAATTCAATTTTTATGAAGGCAAATGCCATACTTAATAGACAGGTATCATAGCGACGAAACAAACACGCATAGCGAACAATTTTGAACTATCGACATTCGGTTTAAAGAATTATCGAACTCAACTAAAATTATTATTTTCTTATTAACTAATTTATAGGACAATTCTAGTATTGATTATAGTGTAGAGAATTTATCGATGACAGAAATAATAGCGAAATCCAAATTGATTACGTACGGCTGTAGTTATAAACATTTATTTACTCTCATTATTTGTTATGGTCATTATTAATTTGAGAAAACAGTGTTTTTTTTAATTCACAAGTTATAACTATAAATCTATCGATTCCAACTTCTATAAGAATAAAAATCTAAAATCGATAAGATTCATGACTGATTTTACACAACCCATACCTACTAAATTTAAAGTGAATTTTCAAACTAATCTAAATTATTTAGGGCCTGTCCCACCGGTGGTAGATAGAGGCCCTGATAGTGTAAATATGACGTCACGTCAGATAAAATACAAAATTTCTGTCCCAC